TCCCCCCCGCCCTGTCCCACTTGGCTAGAGCCCTTCTGCTAGAGACAAACATCGCCAGTCACAGCACTTGTACCCTAACACACCTTGCTTTCCTGTTAAGTGACGGTAAAACTTTCTTTAGAGGACAAGGTTAACGATGGCTTTACTTCTGAGCTGAGTAATGGATGGGGTGGTGATGACGGGGGGTGGTGGTGGTCGGGGGGGTGGCTAGCTTTTCTCCTCCCCTTCTTAAAATAAAAAAAAAAAAAAGGAAAAAAAAAAGAAAAAAGCTACAATCTTATAGACTAACCTCAGGAATATCAAAAAAGGAGCCCGATATTTTTTTTTAAGTAGGTCGCCACAGACCTAGTCGTTTACAGTATAACGAATGCGATTATTTCCTTCGTAAATTTTAAATACAAGCAGAATAAAAATCACATTTTTTTCAGGCAACAGTAGCAGTTCAGTAGGTAAGTGGCTTGATCACATTTTTTGTTTTGTATTAGTAATGCATGCAAGCAGCTTTAGTATTACAGATCCCTTATAGGTCACGAAACGTTTGCTCTCTTTATAAAGTCCCTCCGTAAGTACCATCTTGTCTTCTCACGGGAGTTTCAGGCCGGCTGGAGGAGCCCGAACCTTGTTCAAAAGGTTGCGGAGTGCTTTGGGTATCCGATGCCATAGCATCTGTGGCAGCTGCCTCCTGTATCACAGAGCCAGCCCCTTCGGCATCCTCGCTCTGTTCGAAGGACTGGTTGGATCCATTGCTTAGCTCTACGTTCACTGTGTTAGTTCTCAAGGCTACTATAGTTCCTGAATCGCTCCTCCTTTCTGCATAGATTCGCTGCTCAAAGACCTGAGCAGTGTTGGGCTGGAATTCAGGATCCAGGGGGACACTGTTTGTGGTGGAGCCCATGACCGTGCGGTACATCTCCATCCCTTCCGGCAGCATGGACTTAATCTTCGGCAGCCAGCGCTTGCGGACCCGGCGGGCGTTGGTGCACATATCGGCTGCTATAACATTCATCTCGCTTTCCTTAAAGCTCGGGGCAAAATTCTGACAATACACTGCAAAGACAGGGATACATATAGCTGAGGATTCAGAGAAAGCAATACAAAGGCGGCACAAAGGTGATCAGAGCCTCTGCCCCATCCTAGAGACCTGCCACAAGGCTCTGCGTGGGCTGAGGCCACCCGTGTGCCAGAGCTCTCTCAAGGAGAGACTTACAGACAAGGACTCCTCAGCTCAAGATAGAGACAATCAAGAAGGGATGAAACCAGAAGGCATAAAAATCCCAGATGGCACGGGGAAGGGGGCTGGAGAAGGACCACTCACTGCCCGGGAACCCAGCGAGCCCCAGAGGTCCCAGGCTCCCGCCGGCAGGACCCGGCCTCCCGCCGGAGCACGGCACCCACGGCCGCAGCACGCTGGGATAGCCAAAAGCAGAGATGGACACAGAAAAGGTCAACACCAACTCCTCAGCGGTAGATCCACTAATGGCTCTTAAACCCACGGTGGTGCAGGCACAGCTGCGGGGCTGGGCAATGTCAGAGCTGCTCTCAACCGAGCGGTGGAGCCTGAAGGACCCGTCCTCTGCCCGTCCCACGCCTCGTGCTGGCCACTGCAGGGCCAACCAGCGCTGCGTGGACCACCGGCCCAGCCAGCGTGGCTGCTCCAGTATCCCACCAGGAGCACGGCAGCTGGCACGTGCCCTGCAGAAGCCCAGCAATACCTCGGCTGCAGCCCGGCTCCTCCATGGGGGCCGAGCACCTGATGTTATGGAGCAACATCACCACACTGCCATGGTGAATAATTATCAACTAAAGCTCGTGCACGGGATATTTCTCTGTAAAATTCCGGCAGTAAGATGTCACCTTATGCCCTGACAAGACACGAGTGTCGTAGGCACGGTCACTGGCCAACGACGCCTTCCCAACCTCTGAAACTCTTTGCAAGCCTCAGCAAGGACCAAGGCTGGAAGGTCCAGACCCAGGGCTCTCCAGGGTGCAGCTGCTAAGGGGGAGGCTCTCTCAGGAGGGCACCACGCACAAGCTATGGGCAAGCACCACCAGCACAGTCCAGTGATTTTGTCTTTATGTATTGAACATCTGCCATCTTATCCATTTTCTCCACGTGCTGCAGATCTCAGGGGGTGGCTGGAAGGCCCCTGGAGTTCAGCAGCGCAGCAACAATTAGAGAGAGGAAAGATTTATCTTCCAAATCTTAAAAATAAAAAATAATAAAAAAAATGCTTAGAGTTTCATTTTCCAGCGCAATAATATTTATATAAAGATTTACTATCCAGAATCCAGCAAGGCTGAGAGAACACATTGCTTTCCACTGTATATCAAGCCCACGGTAAACAGGCTTCGCTGCACTAACCCATCAGGGTCTCCTACACCACCCGGGTCCTCACTCACCAGCGGGCACCTTTTGTCCCACAGCACGCTCCTTGTACTCAAGGGTGACTGCAAGAGCCAAATATTTAACCATTTGTTTCTGGTGCCTGCCATAAATAATTAAACTACCCTGATGGAAGTAACAAAACTCTCCTTTTCTTGTATAAACACCAGACGTTGGGCACAAACGTGCACAGGGAAGGGCCATCCGTCAGGGAGCCCTGCACATCCCAGCCCCGGCTAAAGTTAGGGCACTGTGTAATCATGCAAACACGGGGGATCTTACCCGCGGGACAGCAGAAGGGGCGTTAAACAGCCGAACCTTTTGTACCCCCAGCTCTGAGACAGAGCTCAGCAGCTTTACAGACCGACCGACCGACCGACCGACCGACCAGCCGAGCCGCGCGGCACGATGCAGAACTTTGTGTGGAGTTCATGTGTTAAAAACAAAAGCTCCTGTTGCTTTATGCGATCTTTTAAAAAGGCAATTATTTGCAGCAGGGCTCCCCTTTTACGTACTTTTTAAAAAAAAAAAGAAGTTTACAAAATATATTCAAGGAAACAGACTGCAAACCTAAGAGAAAGGCTGCCAGCGAGATGGAGAGCAGATCCTCCCACGCTACCAGGGCTGAAGCAGCCAGTGGATTCCCTGATTCCTGGGGGC